GCCCGGTTTGTGCTGACTTGACCTTGTTTCTCAGCATAGTCGTGGGCGCCAATACCCTCAGTTTCCGTAATTCCTCAATCATTGTTTCGGCCTTGATGCTGCTGGTATATTGATTGCGTCAATGGTGACGCCGACAAAATGTGTGAAAAAGATAAGATGCATCAACTCGACGGAACAAGCGAGCTGATTTAGAAAAAGAGCCATGCGTTTTCTCTCTTGGAATGATGTCAAGAACAAAAAAGCTCACAGCGTTTGTTACGACTAGCCTGGCCGCTTGATCCAGGACAGAACGTAAATGCTTATTTTTTTACGGAATGGCGAGAGAATGCCAATAGCATCTGTCCGAGGTTTCCCGAGCGCGGCATACCATTTTAACAGCGAATGTCCGTTAAAATCTATACCAGTTTTGGTGTTTTGTTTTTTGTAAAAATCTTCAAAGCAATCAAACTCCGTTTTTCTTTTGTTCACTTTTAGAAAGGCATCAATGTCCAAGACGGGATAACATCGTAGTGCTCTCCGACTTCGTAAAAGACAGTCTAAATAAATTATTTCCACTTCAGTTTAAAGGAAAACGAAGACTAAATCAACAGGTCGAACTTCTTATGGTCAGTTTCGCCGTCGTTGCGGATACGGAAATCAGCCAATTGCGAAATTTCCGTGAAGGAAAATATTTGCAGCTCGAATGTCTTGTTGAGGTTCAACATATTTCCACTTATTTAGTCGTCAAGGTCAGATATGTTCCTTTGTTTATATGGTATCATTATGAAATTGCAATGGTAAACTATAGCGATTACTATTCAGATAACGTTAGCAAATTCTCCTTATAGTATTCACTGGTTCTGAATATTTGAGTCTGCTGAAATTCAATCCGTTTTTAACTTCTAAAGGGACCAAATCTTGTCAATGCCGAAAATGTTGTGGAAACACCGATATCGACCCTATTTTTTCCGCTTGGAAGTGTTCAGGCAAGGGCAACTGTGAATTATCTATACGATAACGTCCGGCCAAAAAGCTTGCGTTTAACGGACTTGACATTTCCCGGCATCACCGAAAGCATTCAGCGCCATATAAATGAAAATTTTAATGGGAGCAATCGAGTTTGGGGCGACCAGACACTAAAAGATTTGGAATTTTCCATCCACGCCGCCGTTCACAGCAGTGCTCCTATGATTTGTACATTCGACTGAATCCTGGAGCTTGGTGCCAAATGACTTAGACATACTGCCGTATATCATTTTATCCTTGTACTTTTAAAATTAGATGCATCTGCAAGTTTGTTTGGCTGCTGACTCGGATAATACATGTTCCTTAAGTAACTTACCACGGTGCTGCCTAACCTTGGAACACATTTGCTGCAGCCCCTTAAGACCATCTTCATATACTAACTAGATTTGTTGGTCTACGCTGTTATTTAAAGAAGTCTAACTTAAACTCGAGGGATTCCCTGTGGGTTTCCTGACCGTTATCTGATTGGGTAATTGTTCTTGCCTAAACAGAAGGCTTTCATTCCGACCCAAATCAACAGACTGGCCGTTGTTCATAATAGATAAATTAATGTTCTCACACTTTCAAGAAACATTAACAAATAAATTTCAAACGTCCAGTTTACAACCTCGGACGAGAAGAAGCATAAGCTGGCCTTCATTGAAGTTAATTTCATGAATTCAATTTATAAAAATTTAAGCACAACAGTGGCCTCCGCGTGAAAGATAATCAAGTAACAATTCAAAAAGTTGTAAGATTTGCACTCAAAGACAGACTGTATATTAATCTGGCGATATCGATCAATTCGATCCTTTTGGCTGATTGGTAGTTGAAAGGCTTATCTTACTGTTACCGGCAAATCTTGCGCAGATGTCAGAATACCGATTAACGAAAAAAACTGGATAGGTATTCTGGTAAGGACTGTCTCCCAAGGTAACAAATAAAATTCGGAGAACATTGGGTTTCCACCATTTCTGGAACACTTTGGACATTAAACGTATGTTACCAGTCGGTTATTTTGCAGTCCATAGCGGAAAAAATGGAACACAATTAGTTACCTCGTCATACATACAAAAAATAGCGACCTCGGTATTACAATGCACTTAATTTCAGTAAGCCAGCAGAGGTTCTGATCTGCCATAAAAACTCGTTCACACGTTAAGATTCGCAGGAGCATTCTTCAAAAGGGCGGCAAAATTACTGCAATGACGACGATAAACTTGAGATTGCAATTCCAACGTGGCCTGGCCCATACAGCCACAGACGATCGGGCACCTCACGTGAAATGTCCAAGTTTTGGGACATATTCTTACAATTTAGGGCTAATTTAGTAGGCAGATCAAAACTTTACACGATGTGCCTTGAATGCAGTAGCAAGAAACTACTGCCCGTATGTTTACTGGTGGAAAGTAAAAATGTTGACTCCTGTTAAGTCAGTCAGTTACGAACAGGAGAAAACGTTTGACAAACATAAGGGCCATGGAAATGGCAAATTCTAGCTTGCTATCCGTCGTCGGCCAATACTAGCCGACCGTGGAATCATGAAAACCAGGCACTTGTTTCGTATATCTCCTCCTTTGGTATAACCTCACAAATGCAGACCTGATAGTGATTTACCATTGCGGTGGAAATGAGAATACAAGCAAATGCTATATCAACTGCAAGAAGCTGCAAACTGTCATCAATGCAAACTTAAAACCTTTATCTTTGCGCTTCGCCCAATCTTTCCCAAGTTATGGTCTTTGTCTGTATAATGCTACATACATATTCTTTGTCCGACTGTTCGGATTCACATGCGAACATGGCCTCAGAGCGGGAACCGGATATGCGTGATTCACACAAGAGATGTTGCAGAATTGATAATATGGCGTCGCTATGAACCCCAAAGTTGATCGCGTTTCCTGGAACCCACTGCTTAACTTACCGACGGAATCAGAACCGTAAATACTGAAAAAATTAACGCTAATATATGGCACTATTCAATTATTCATCATCGGGCTAGCAAATGGTGACAAACGCTTTCGCTGCTGGCAGAGGGGCGCGATGTTTTCATCGCCCAGATTATTTTTAACACGGACAACTGCCTTATAAATGCATGGAGACGACCCACGTACAGCTGAATTTGAAGCCAATGGTGATACAGTCTGGTAAACACTGTTGACGTTTTTCTCATGTTAGCAAATGCAAGAGATCCGATCGATAACTAGGAAAATGAAGTGCTCAGCGGATCATGCGAAATGCATTGATGATTTTTCGGACAGCTGGGCTGGCTCTACACTACCAGCCTTGGCCGGTTCATTTTTTTTCTTTCGCTGCCTTGGACGACTGATTGTCGTGTGTGAATGTTGGTGGCCTCCTGCGTCAGGGTCCCATCACTTTGTTCGCGACCGCCAGCTACATCAAACGCCCTTTAATCCGTTGTCCAAAGCTTTAGTGATTGCTATCAAGCCGTTTTTCGGAACAGGAATTACAGCAGTGTTTCGATGCAGTCGTTCAAGATATAAGAACACCTGGATAGTGCGTGCATTGAAACAGGTCTGTATTTGGTGTTCTCTGGTTTGAAAGTCCTGTGGAGGCGCTCAGGTGGCATTTCATCCCTGTTGCTTTCCCGCCGGTTTCAATAAAGATGTTGGATTTTAGGACAGACCCTGGAAAAGTACAAGGCTATCGCGTAACTCGTGAAGTTAGTGAACTTGCTATTTGTCAAGGGCAAGCAAAAAGAAGACCATTTGTTATGCCGCAACTGAGAACATTGTTGACTCTACTTGTTCCACTGTTTAAATAGAAGGAAAAAGATCGCATTTTATGGTCATGCATTTCCAAAAACAAAGACGCCGTGATCGCTGCAGAATACAAATGCATCTCGCCATATCCAGCTACGTCGGTCACCACGCTGATTGCGTACCGGATAAGGACAGTATTTTTGAGTATGCGGGTAGTGAGAGGTCCGTGCTTTGGCTGCTCTCCTTCGTCCCGACTTGGCCCACAACATTTAGTCTCCTCCCCACTAATCCCATCGTAGCTAGACATGATTCAGAAAAAGACAGTGCAATTTCGTAATTTGACAAAAAAATACTATTTGTGGCGCGGCAAACAACGTCATCAATAGAATTGATTAGGGGATTGGGGCTGTGAATGCTAACAAGATTAATGAAATAACTAACAGTCAGAAAATTTTGACAATTGTCATATTAGTTAAATATCGCTCATCCGGAGCGAACATTTTCCAAGTAAAAAATATTTAACAGAAATTATTTGATGTGCTAAGGGGCATGCTGCATGTCAGTTATCTTGCATATAACCACCGCCCCTAAGAAAGACAACCCGATCCTTAAATAATCGCATGCACAATGCTAGTCAGCCGGTAATTTGAACTTATCATCTAAAAGGTCGGAAAGGACGACTTTGACCTAATTTTGCGAAGGATCAGGCCTGTCACTATGCAGACAGGTCTGAAATCGTCCGATTTCTGTGATGTGCTTGGGCTCCGAGAAACAAATTACCGTAGGCGGCCAATCTTCAAAAGGAGATTTGTTGTCTTCCTGTAGAAGTATATTTACTGGCTAATTGCTGAAATATGTTTTCGATTAGAAGTGAAAATTTCAGTATTTAGTGATATCGACTATCGCGCAACATAATCAGAAACTGTCTCAGCTACGTTGAAATGCCGACTTTGAAAGCCTTTGAATTTGGCCGACTTTAAAATTCGCATCCGGTACCGATAACCGCTTAGGTAGTATGCACTTGTTCTATCGATTTTTGCTGTTGCTAGACGTAAAGAAATATTTATTGTACTCGCTTGCTCACCCACATTCCGTATTTTAAAAGTCTTTGTTCATTGATAGATCTTAATAAACTCATGGCCCATTTAAAAAGTTGTTAAATATGGCTTTTCGCGAACTACATGTAGGTCGCGTGTCCAGCCTTGCAGCCGCCAGAATAACTTCTCATGCCAGAACCAAGACAGGTAAATAACTAACTGAAGACTAAATCGCGGTTGAAAATTCCGTCACCTGATGAGTCGTGGTGGCGCTGACATTCACAGGCCTGCGCAGTCGTCCAAACCTAGTGTCACTGGTCGTCGACCTACTTATAGTAGGTAGGCTTACTCATGAAATGTCCTCCGAAATTACGGAATGCGCTTTTTAAAGAATTTATTTCCTTTTATGAAGTAAAACGTCTACGCAGCAGTCATTTCCGAAGAATCCCGTTGTAAAATATCTACCTTTTTAGGGTGAATACGTGTCAAACACAATCAAGCAACGCTTGCGATGCACCATAGAATGATCGTACAACGCCGCGAAGCTTATCTCTATCAGTTCCACAAATAGTCTTCCAATTAACCGGGCAAATGATGCCTTGCAAATGCACGCTACCCTAAATTTTGTTTATGAATTCACATGCATTTGCGAATACAAGTACATTGGGCAAACGCAAAGGCAATTAGCAACCAGGGCCGCTGAGCATTTGCCTAATTGGCTTTTCCAAAGGAAAACAAAACCCCTCGTTCGTCCATAACGAAATACCTGTTAGATAGCGGCCATGTTGTCGCCCATTAAACATATTTTGAAGTACTTGTCAGAGAGCATAAAACGTAAACGTTGCGTTATTTGGAATCAGCTTACATACGGAGGGCGAAATCAGACCTGTGCAAGCAGTTAGATCACGTGATCAATCTACAATTACCCTGGTAATCTCAGGCCTCAAGTTACTCCAGAATGTGATTTGTTGGTAACATTTCGTCTTCCTATTTTCTATATGATGCTTATTTAGACGTCGTATCTAATTATTCGTTGACTTGAACCTTAACCTTTCTCTTGTGCACTGCCATTTTGTACAAATTAATACTGCTGTGCGCCTTCATTAGTTACCCTTTTTATGCAGAGACGTGCTGCAGTTGAAAAGCTGTGACGAACTTTATCGGCTCCAATTAGTTTTGAACGTGTTGTTGTTTCGAAAGGATTAATTACTTAGGGTCGTTAAACTAGTCAGCCTGCAACTCAATTCTATAATACTTCATTTACCACATGATGCCGGCTTTAGAATGAACTTCCGGTGCCCATGAAAGTTTAATAATATTTCATGGAAAACATACATTTGTTTGCTCATTTGGCGGAAAATTACGTCTTCTTAAAAATGTGTACTCGAAGGATGGATATAATTCGGTCTTTAAAAAGGTTCTATTTGTAGACCTTTAAAAAACTATAAAAGGGCCTTTTTTAAATCGTCATATATCTGCATTTACCAATGCGGATTGTAAAGTTAGCAAAATGAATCGAATCCACTGCTTATTTTTAGGAACCCTAAATGGTTCCCCCTTACTAGAGTAGACAATTGTGTCATTCTCCGTACATGGAAAAAAATGGCTTCTTATTTGGAAAACTTTAATCCAAATGGAACGGTTAAGCGCATTAAAAATTGTTCGGGAATAGAAAACGTTTTTAAAACACGAAACATACTCTTCTTTTGAATATAGAATCAAAACAGGACTTAATTATCTGCCGAATGAGCGAAATAACATTTTTATGAATTTTTTCTATAAAATAAAACTGGGCTTTTAGGAGCATCGAAAATCAATGAGAAAAATCCCTGTTACGTATTTAGTCATTTTTAAAGAATAATGTTAACGCATGCAGCCAGTAAAAAATTATTTGAAAGCCGGCATCCTGAGATATCTTGTATATTATAGACTTATGTTGCAGACTGACTTGTTATACAACTCCACTTAATCAATCTTTTGGAACGCATTTCGGAATTACCGTTGACATTTCATGAGTTAACCAACCTACTATATATCCTCTTAAACAATCGCGTGCTCCGTTGCTGCTTTTGTCTTCAGCACTGCATCTATATACGTGTTTACAACTTTACAATAATAAATAAATTGTTGCGGCCATCAAACAGTATCATTTACGCATATAAAAATTCGTTTGTCGCATTAAACTAATTACGCATTTGAAATACGATTTTCGATTTTTATGTATCAGCGAACACCGCGTTTCCTATCTTTTAACTCAAATCAGCCTGCCATTCCTGTATACCAGCTGGTGTTGTGCCGTAGTGTGTGGTGTAAGTAAATAAGCTACAGTGACACTAACTGCTCATTTGAATTGTTATCGGCAGGCTCGGAGAGGCATCCCATTTAGTCAGCCGACAAAGATTAACAACTGGCAAAGAATTGCGAGCATATGATAGGACTTGGTCATATACAGTTTCTTTTTCTAGGAGATTGTCTCGACCTTAAGATCGCAAGCTATATTGTTGAAAGCTATGTACTACTTGTCTCAGCCTAAGTAGTCGTCACGTGTTTTTCATAATAGTATTCAACATTCTGACAGATGATTAGGGCCGAACAGTTTGGAAGATGAATGGTCCAAGTTTAAAGAAAGCAGGTCACTGCAGGCAGTTCATTTATTGTAATCTGGCAATATACAATTTCTTTGAATGCTCAAGCACTGGACAGTTGTTAATAACCAAAAGGGTTGTAAACTAGTGAATGCCACAAAAAGTTGATTACGTTTTCTTTGTGATAATGTTAGATAATAAAATATAGGTATATGTGTTGCAAAAAACTTTGCCACTTAGATATACCAGTGAGTAAGAGGCAAAAGTGTATTCACAACTAAATTACTTAAATGGAGTTTGTGACTCCAGGCCGAATGCTATTATAGGCTGTTGTGAACGTACTACTTTAAATAGTTTTATCCAAAATCCTGTAGCAAAAACAAATTGTTTAAGACATTTGTGGTGTAAATTTTCCCTGTGTTAAAAGTTAGCGATCATGAACATATTTGTAGCACTCAGTAATGACAAGTTAAACAGGCGCAATTTTCGGTAAAATTGTCACTATTTACAGCAACATAGACACAACCAATAAATCTAACCGTGAATTGTACTCAGCAATGTTAACACAAGGCTGAAAAAGAACAGCGTCATTTATAAAGCCATGCTTTTGGACAAATCTGCATTTCCAAGTGTATATGGACAAATCCGCATTTCCAGATGGAGCCAAGTACGCAACAGTTATCGGGCTTTTATCTTTGTTAGAAGTGACAATTATGTTTAAGTGTCATAAGATGAGGCAAACGTCATTTTACAGTAAATCGTGGCATTTGAATTTAGGAAGGAAATGATTTTGGCTAATGCATGGCTAATGGTTAATCCATAAAACGCTAACGCAAATTCTGAAATGCGTTCTCAACTTAAAAATGATTGTCTAATTAGCGGAGAATTTTATCATTGATTGCCGGCGCCCTTACATGTGCATTCCTTTATTTGATAGGGAATAGCGTATTCTTCTTATAGGCATTCAAAACAAAGCTGAAGTTTGGTTTTGATAAAGGTGTCGCAAAACCAATGGAACGCCAAATAGATTCTCATGTGATAGCCAGTGTTTATGCGTGACCGAAATATTTTGGGGTTAATTTGCTTACTACATAATATTGAAAAACTACTTGGGTGTTATTTTAAATCAACAAATATTTCGTAATTTATGTTAACATTTCATGGCGATTAAGATAGCTTAGACTTCTTTTTAAATAATATTCTACAGTGCAAATGTAGCTCAACCAAGACCCGTCTTATAATACTTGGGCCGCTATACCAAACTAAATATATTTTTGTCAGGCTACAGCTAATATACATACCTGTATTTTAGTCCTCTAAAGGAACATAAAATGCATGCCTGATATGCGGTTTCTTTTAGAATTGTCCACATATCTCTCTAGGCTTAACTGCGTTAGAATTGAAGGCAGTAGAAGTTTAATATAATCCGTAAAAAAACTAAATTGAGTAGACGGCTAAATCGATCCGTAATATCTTTGGAGGTTACTGGACAAATTTAGTTACCAATTATTTTAAAGGTCCGTTATCCACGTAAATCCGTGTTTCAAAACTTTGAATGAGAGCCGTCAATTATAAAAGACATACCGTATCATCGAAGGCGTATATGGTACGATGTACAAACACATAACAATACTATTTCGCTCAAATGTGGACGCTGTTACTCCGACCTGAAAGTAAGTTCATGCCGAATATAGCCCGGCTGTACCGGCTGCTATAGTGACAGTTCGATTAAACCCGACAAACACGATTAGACAAGTTCCAGGAAGCAATTTGGTAGAAATGTTGCGCTTGCCAGAACAAGAATTTTGTCTGCCTGACGTTTCGGATTCCTACGCGAACACATCATAAACTGATGTCGCAGAACATAGCAATATGCGGCCCCAGATGCGCCACAAATTTCGAAAGCGGTTGTCGCGCAACCACATTCTTTTATATCTGGCAGTAATTATGTTCTTCGCTGGCGGTGACAGTTGATACAATGACTACCATCGGATCCATATACGACACCTCGATTGCCGTGGTTGTATATTCCAGCCCTGAAATTTACGCGACAATTTGGCTCGCTGTCACATTGTCCTTTGATTTGGCACTAGCCTCCCCGCTTGCCTTTTAATTTTGAATAGGCAAAACCTACAAGCGGATGTAAGGCACGCTCTTTTCGTCACTTACAGCCGAACCGTCCTGTAATGGACGAAGTTTCTGGTTTTCTGATATGCTTATGATAAATTTATCGCTAACGAGCAGGATCAAGTGTTCGAAGAAGGCGTATAATTCGGTTTCAAAAAGTCACTATCAATGATATTTTAAAACCATAAAATGGCAGTCATAAAACTCCATATTTTTACACTTACCAACGTGACTTGCACAGTTTACAAAATGGCTAAGATATACGGCCCAATTCTACGAACCCCGCATGGTCTCCACTTATTGCCATAGAGACATTTATGGTTTTCCGTTCGCAGAAAATATACGGCCTGTGGTTTGGAAACCGTGAAAGCAAGTGCATTATCAGGTCAGACCATTATTGGCAGACCAAGCTAAACCGCTTCTTCAAGTATACAAGTGAAAGAGGATGTGATCTTCTACCGAATGGGTGAAATAACACGTGTTTTTATGCATGTTTTCCATGAAATATGATTGAGGTTTTACGGGAGTCAAAAGTCAACGAAAACAATGCATGCTGCATAAATAATTATTTTTAATACAATGTGCTTACGCATCTGGCTTGCGAGAAGTTAGCTCGAAATCCTGTATCCTGGGCTGACTGGATTATTAAAAATATGTTTAAATTTAGAACCCTGCTTAATTTATTGTTGCTGATCAAAATGCATTTCAGAATTTCAGTTAATATTTCCTAGGTCAGCATACGCAATGCACGATGAAGGAGACTAGATGGAACCAAATGGTCGTCCTTAAATTTCAGAAAGTGAATGGTGGACAAAAACCTTAAGTGTTTACGAAAGCGATTAATATGACGCAAGTGCTGAAGTACACCAGCAACCACCAAAACGCGCACAAAAACGGTGCGTTGAGACGCATTTCAGTCAAACGAGAGACAGGGTTTTGAAACTATAATGCACTCGAGAGATGTATAGAGCAAAACGGCACGACTCGGTTGTCTGTTGCATACACCGTCAAGCCCAAACTTGTGGAACTGAAAGGCACACTATTATATATAATAGGGGTGCGGTTGCCTTACAGCCGCGGTTTATACGCACCGAGCATTTTGTGCACTCTGCCACTTGTTTCCGCGACCTTATCTAATGATGGTTTCGAGTTAGAATCCGAAACGTTAGGCCGATAAGACTCGTTCTTTAGCAAACGGATGCTGTTTCTCCGAATTTCATTAACAGTTTGTTGAAAATGTCAATTAGAAAAAATTATTGATGTTTGCAATATTTTCTGAAACTTACTGATCTATCATGATATATTTCATGTCTGTTTTACACAACGGAAGAGACTAGAATGCTCATTAGAGATTTGCTCCAGCTGCATCACCTTTTTTTATCGTATATTCGTTTGGCTTATATTTCCACTTATCCGTTAACGTGGTAGCCGGGCCCGCCAGCTTATTCTAATTTAAAGTGCTTTTTGTAGAATTCAATGCCTGCATGTTAGCTAAATCTGCGCGATAAGAAGGTTATGTTCTCCGAAGAACGATGATGTAAAGATTATAAGGGTGGTATTCACTGAGGCCTCAAAGCCCAGCTTTTTCCAAAAAAACTTCGAAAGCGCAAAAACACACTTCATGTCTGCAAAGCCACTGTAATACATCTTATTAGTCTTGCAGAAAGAGACACGATCGCCGGGACAAGAGCAGTATTAGCCTGACGTTTTGGATTCCTACTCGAATCCATCATCAGAGACAAAAAGCAGAAATTGGTGGTTGATGCACAAGGGGTTGCGGTATTTATAGGATGCACCAGCCATGCAACCGCATACCTATGAACATTCACGGCTCCCCCTTCGTCCGAGATCGTCGCACGTGGTGTGATCATTGCTTGATGGCCGACCTTCGAGTTGATAATTGCTGCAATTTCATCACGTGCGTTGGATGTTGGCGTGATGATTGCTCGACCATCTGACACACCGACCCTGGTGTTGGGAAAAGTGTTAACCTCTGCGCTCCCCGCATGGCTTGTTACGCCGCCTAGGCGAAATTTTAGCACGCAGTATGGAGTGGGAAGATCATTGCACTTGCTGATGGACTGGGGGCCAGTAAACCATGATACCTGTAGCTCCCGGCTCACGCGGTTGACACCTCCTGCGAGAATCTCGGCCTCAACGAATTTGAATGTGTGGCCGGATCTCGTCGAATGAGCCGCAACGTGAGAGCTGGCGTCATTTCTGCGCACCGCTGCCGCGTGTTCGGTCATTTTCGTTCGGAGCTGTCTTCCAGTTTCTCCGACGTAGGTGCTTTGTCCGCAACTGCACCAGATCCGATAAACGACTCCAGACGTTTCTAGCCATGGTAGTAGGTCTTTCGGTTTCATGATCAGACGCCTGATGGTTGCCTCCGGTCTGTGTGCCACTCTAACCCCAAGTGGTGCGAGAAGGCGGCCGACAGCTTCCGAAACGTTCTTCACATACGGAAGTGTCCGCCAAGATTTGGTGTCCGTGCGGTTAGGCCTTTCGTCCCTTTTGCGTACGCACCGGTCGACGAAGTTGCGCGGGTAGTTAGTGGCTTTGAAGACCCGTCGGAGGTATTGTAATTCGGCAATTTTGTCTTCCGGCTCACTGCAGTGCGTTTTTACACGCCAATAGAGCGTCCTTACACAAATGCGTTTGTGGCTGATTGGGTGGCTACTGTTGAAGTTCATTACTTGCATCGCATTTATCACTTTCCTGAACACTTTGTTTTTTAGTTCACCACAATCTTTGCCGCATACGAGGACATCCAGGAAGACCAGCTGGTTGCTCTCTTCCTTCTCCTCTTCGTAAATTGAATGTCCGGGAAGACTGCGTTGAGAGGTTCTGGGAATGTCAACACCTGATCCCGTTCGATGACTACGAAGGTATCATCCATATACCGGGCCCAGACTTTTGGTTTGCGGTGTTGGAAGACCAGCGCTTCTAACCGTTGCAGGACCGCCTCGGCGATGAATCCCGAAATCGGCGAACCCATTGGTGTGCCCTTTACCTGTTCGTAGATTGTCCCGTTGAACGTAAAGTACGTCCTGAGACAGAGCCTCATGAGCTGAAGGATTTAGGCGTGTCCAAGGCGGTTCTCCGTTTCATCATATTTGCTTTGTAGTAGCAGCTTAATTGTCCCGGCGATCGTGTCTCTTTCTTCAAGACTACTTCCTGGAACTTGTCTCTCCGCTTCTATTGACATCTAATTAGTTCAATTTTCATAGTTGCACGGAAAGCCTTATGTTTATTTAATTTTTTTACGAAGTGAACTGAATGTACGCCCCCCATACGTATTGCCGGAACTGACTTTTTTTGGATGTGTAAACAGGGCACAGAACTTGAAATGTCCCGCGCAGTCAATAAAGGTGTGACATGCGTAGAATACATGACGCGTGCCGTACGCTAGGCCTTCACTCTGTAGTCAAAACGAACATCTACATATGCGTGATACTGGCTTTCGTCACCGTCAGCTTAAGGTTTCACGTTGCATCTAGTCATGCACCTGATTCTTAGCCTTGCTGCAAACCTAACACCAATTCCTCTGAAAGTTTTCTCATCGCGGCCCATGTTTCAGGCGGTTCCTACTCATGCATCCCGTATAGACACCTACATAACTCCACGTGCTATATTTATAAACAGGATAGAAGTGTGCCGTTCAAACGCTAAAACTATTTCCGAACTTTCTCATTCTTGAAATCGCATAGCTGTTTATTGTCGGAAATAGAATCGACAACAGAACGATCAACAGTTCTAGGGGATAGGAGACACAAAAATATTACTGACGCAAACCCGGCTCATCTAAACCTTTCCTGATATACATTCCACGTAAAAATAGTAAAAGAAAGAGCATCTGGTTTTTGTATCGCGTTTATCAGAGGAAATCTCAAAGAGAAAATCTTTAATGAACAGTGTCATTAGGCTTAGTTTTTTACAGCCGCCATCCCCGTGCACATCCAAAAAGCCGTGCATAAAGAGTGCTTAAACAAATTTATACCCGTTGCGACAATTTGGGACAAAACGCATGCAACGTCCGATACCCCTGCGAACAGTTTTTGCGGAGCGACTAATTAATGGTGATAACAAGCCGACACCTGTGTGTTCGCGCCCAAAAGTGCCCCAGTGGTATGCTTTACTGAACATCGAAGACGTGTCGAATGCAGTCGAGTGCATTTATGCAAAACTAGATTTCGGAACTGCACATGGGCTCAGGTCTACTTTGAGCAGCGGAGTCATTAGAATAGGGGACCGACTAAGTATTTCATATCTGTCTTCGTATATATGCAATTGTAGACTGGACGCGTGATGAAATCGCTTATAAACTTACATAAACTGGTAATGTGATGGGGAATTAACAATGGCTGGAGGTGAAGTATCTAGCACAGCTGAACAAGACAGGAACAAAAAGAATCTGGCAGTTTAATGCTTGTCGGCAGGCGGTTATACAATTATTACACAAATTTTAGGCTTCGACTGATTTTAGTACATAGTATTTATGTACTATGTGTGGCAAATTTATGGTAATTTTTATACTATATTTACATTATACAAGCACGCACGCCACTGATTTGGTGTATGATCAGCGGGTAAAGATACAGTAGATGATCAGAGTAGGTCGACTATTGTTAACTGCATACTATACTGTTTTGGTCAAATATAATGACTTCCGGTGACGTCCCTAACTGCACCATGGTGTCGTCCCTTGAACTGAACAGCTCGAGGTGCTGCACAATTATTCATATAGACTTAAAATGCTGTAACCCTTACGATAAAGTATTTAGTAAAATTTGAAGTATTTTTACGTGGTTTTGCAGACACAAGAAACGTCTTTCTTGTCATATAGCTGTCCTTCACATGGGCACAATTTCTGTGTATAAACTGGAACCAATTACGACAAAATTCACACATTTACGTCCCCAATATGAGTAAAAAGATTTTCTTTAGACTCGTGATGTTCAACCCAGGCACACTGCAGAACCTGGTCGATTCATGAAACGCTTTAAAGATTATCTTTTTCTCCCTATAAATTCATTTTATTCATGCCGACGTACGTTGGCTAATATGCGTATATCCCCTTTGCTGATCACAGAGTTGTTGAGTAGTGGATGGTTAAACCTATAATGGTCTCCTATGCCTTAAAAGTCGACTAAAATAATACACTGTGAATTTCGTTCACGGTATGCATAACTATTACAATAAATACATAACAAATTCTAACGCTTTTAATTCACACACCACGTGGTGAAATATGATGCTTAAGTCGCCTTTTTTTAATTGAAAACCTCTCCTTAAGCGTTTAAGAGTTGATTGGACACCGCGCAGTAAATTTGTTTAAGTTGACATCCACAAGCTAGTATTTAAAGCATTTTATTGCAATTATTGTTCAGATTTGTTCGTAATCATTAACGTTTGGTAGCAGAAGTATGCACCTGCGTGTGATTTTGCCCTTGCTCTGCGCACTAACGATTTGCGCATGCTGCAGGTTTGGGAGTCGGCATTATACCAATGCCCGTAAGCTTACCATGTTTTGTATTTAAATTAAAGGCAAATTTTCGACACGTTTTAAAAGTATGAGTCGCGTTAGGCCTTAAGTTTAATTTTAATCTTTGTGAACTTAGGGGATTCACTTCTGTTTTGTGACTTGATCCACAATGGTGAACGAAAAATTGTGAACCGAAGGTAAGGTAAGATAGAAGAACATGCTATGATATATCCATTATTTTGGGAATTCTTTTTATTGTTAAACTCTCGGGCTTGTACCGAGTTACTGATTCACGTTCACTCCAATTATAAGAACGGTAGTCTACGTAAGACTGATGTCATTATAGATATACTCAAACAGTTGACAGTATCATGCGACCATACAAGTAAGACGTGTATGAATGCAATCAATACACTATTTGCAGTAAAGACTTTTGGTCGTGTGGGATGTTTCATTTTCGTCGAACCTTACTATTTGTCAATCTCTAGTTAAACAGAACACTGTGACCTTCGTCCAACAGTTCCTTCTTGTCAGCTTTTGTCAAAATATCTTTTATGAATTACGTATACGTTAGGTTTTTTATACTTTTTAACTACCTAATTTTTAATTTTTATTTACCCGCTCCACTAGTATAAATGGAGGGTTGCGTATATTGGGCTTTTCAAATCGATTCATTAACAGGCAATTTTTATATGAGGATCAGCATATTTTTTTAAAGCAAATCATTTAATATCAACACGGTTATAACGTCATTTTCATAGCAGTTGAACGGTTATAAGACAGGGGTGCATTTTTACAAAGCGTAACTAGGAGTATAGCTGGTTGTCTGGCAAATTTATAAACGTGTGCTCATTGCTATCTAATAGTCATGATACTTCATGTATGCGCGAAAACCCCATATAGTTTTCACTATTACCTGCGAATGCATGTGCCCATGGAAGGAACCTGTGGAGTAGGAATTACATTCATTCATAAAATGTAAATTGTATTTTTCGCTGCAGATAAGATAGAGTGTGAAACTATTTCTGAATGCTACGTAACTGCGAATTTCAAAAGACTTCTTGAGAGCCGTCTTCAATTTAAGGAACCAGTCCAACTCCCCGAGTGTGCTACTGCATCATCTGGTCGTTTGACAACATTTTTCCTCAAGGATAGTTATAGGTGTTTCAAAGGAGAGAGCTGGCGGACGACAATGTCAACCATCTACCATTGTCTGGTTGACATTTACGCCTCCGTAGTGACATCCAGCACCTTGTTTAAACCATTTTCATCGGACGACGACTGGACAGGGTCAGGTGATACAAAATCGCCTGAACGTATTCATGCCAATTTTACATTTATTTACACCAAAGGCAGGTACTCGGAGCGTCTTTCATTTGCAGATAAGCAAACGCTTTCCCTTAAGTCAAACATTTATAATCCAAATTGTAACGAAAATGAGGACAATCAAGCGGCTTTTACCGATGTTGAATTCAACGTTATTTCAACGCTTTGGGCTGTACTACAATCACGATATCCTTTGGATGTTGGTCTACATTGCAACCTGTCAGTCCACATAGCATATTGTATCCCAATTAATAAGTTGAAAATAAAGAGTGATTATAGGTGACTCCGATCTTTGAAATTACTGTTATGGGATATTACTTCGTTTTAGTGATTACTCATTACAGTGAAAAATATATTGGTCGAATTATGAGCACTCATATGGAAAGACGCTGGTAGCATATAAATGCGCTTCTGTTCCTCAGTTTATAGGCTGTCATATCGTCTTTAAATAGCAAGCTTTAGAGACTGGGCCGTCGTATCCTCTGCGTTTTTTTATATGTCGATCTGGTGACCGATTTTACTCCTTTTATGCTGACTTCTTGATATGTATTTATCTAAACTACACTAAGTATATCAGCCGCACACAACGCTAAATCCATTCTAAAAAACATGAATTATAGCGCGGGTATAAAACTGATTTAACTGCAACGTTTGATACTATCGAACATCGCGGTTTTCGGACATTATATACCGCTTGTTAGCTTTTGATTTCATCTGCTTTGTGTACCCATCTTATATACTCCTTAAAGAGGCGTATTTACAAAAAAAAAACAGAATTGTGCCTTCACAATAAATCTTGTCTCATCTTGATAGTATATGCAATCAAGTGGTTAGTAAGGTTTTACAGCATGATTTCGAGTTCCGAAGGTTAGTTAGATGCGAAGCGATCTGCTATCAAATCAGTACACAAGACAACGCCTGTGCACTTTGATCATACAAGGTTGGGTCTAAATTATTGAGTGTATAGGCATGTCTAAAATTAAAACAAAAGCGTCATACTACCTGTGT